ACTTGAACAACGGAGACGTAGTTGAAGTTTCTATCGAGCAAATCGGTACTCTTTCCAACAAGATGGACTTTGTCTAGGTGATAAATATGGATTATTAAAGTTATATATGATAGATTAAATGTGCGCTGCAAAAAATTGAATATATTGTAAATTTTCAAGTCATAAAATACGTATATATCACTACCGATTTTTTAAAATTAGGTACAGTGTTTTGCAACATTTTTCAGTAGCAGCAAAATTACGCGATAATGTTGAAGAAAAATATTTTAGTCTTTTTAAAATTCTAAATAAGCTTTAATGATCAAATCGAAATAGAAACAGGACGAGCAGAAGTAGAAAAGGGAGTTTTTTAAGAAATTTTATTTAAAATAGGTTCCAACAAAGTTTTTACTGAGTTGGTTAGTTCAGTATTGGCATCATAATCTATATTGAAGACACTAACTGATGTCTGACAAGTGGTATTAGCTAAGATAAAGCTCTCAGAAGGCAAGGAACAGTCACCATTGAAACAATTAATTAATCCCTTCAATGGTACAGTGACAGACTTAATGGAATCTGATTCTTCATCGTAGTACACATCTGGTGCACTTGCTCCTTCCCCAGACAATCTTGAGAAAATCCATTTAGGATTAGTACACTCATCGTTATCAGATTCGTAACCAACTTTTGGAAAATTGACATTGATACCAGTACCTAATGGTAAGACTAAATTGTCACCTTGTTTGTCAAAAAGATCATCAACGAATTCAACAACCTTTTTAGCATAAATATTGGATGGCTCTAATGGATCATCGTTCAAAGAATCTTTGAAAAATGAATTATTCGAATTAGATCCTGAAAATGCAATAGCAGGAATCCCTCTATAAAGAGAGCTTGTTGCAGCCCCAATAGTACCTGAAATTGTGAAGTATCCTGGTGATAAATTGGTTCCTTCGTTAGGTCCCGAAACGACTAAATCGACCTTATCGATAACAGTTTTGTTGTCCTTACTGTCTGTTGAATTGAAGAACTGAGGAATAACATAGTTCAATGCGAACGACACGGAACTAGCAGGTGTACCGTTAAAGTACCATATATTCATGTTGTCAGCTTCGTGACCCCATGATGGCTGTCCCTTTTGGATATAGCCAAATTCACCATCTGTTAATAAATCCTTTGTTGCTGGAACATCGAACTTACCAGACCAACCAGATCTTTGTGAAACAGGTGCTACTAATAAAACATTGTGCCCTGCATTTGTCAATTCTTTATATGTGCTACGAATATTTGTTGCAGTAAATCCATCGTCGTTAGTTAAAATGATGTTCTTACTAAATACGCTTGCAAATAAAAAAGCGATTGTTACGAAAATGTTCAACATATCGAAGTTGGCAATTGAAAGTAATAAGTGAAAAGTTACAATCGAAGGTTAGGAACAGGATCGTTATTTATACTGTTAACTGTCTTAGAATCGTTAAATGCAAAACGTGGACTTCATATTTTGTTGATGCACGAGGGCATAGCAAATTTGTGCATACTAAAAATGTAACTTAAATTAAAATTATACTTTATTCATTCTCTGCAATTTAGTGCATAACGCATATCAAATCATTGGCCATTGACGTATTTTATTTTTACTTGACTATTTGATTCTAGGTGTTAATAGTTATCTATGAACATTCTTTCTTTTATCTATCCCTATACTGAGTGCCACGTTTAGTTCCCATCTCGTTCTGAATTATGCACGTTGATATCGCAACATGCCCAACGTACAGAATTGTAGTGTATGCTAGAATTTTAAATATAACTCTCTTTATGAGAGAAAAAACTTCGTCTATTCATTAGATAAAATACATGCATATACATCATAAGCCTAATTAAAATGCACACAATCCTTATTGATGCATAATTTTCGTACTCTATACGATATTTTATTTAAAAAGTGAACGGCTCCGCATGGTATTGCTGTCACGAAAGCAGGTTATCTTCCAACTACAAAATTATGCATCTTCTATAATAATTTTCATGGCCCCTGACTTGGGATCAGCTGCTAACTTAAAGGCCTCTTCGGCATCTTCTAATGCAAATGAATAGGTAATCAATTTGTCTAAATTAATGATGCCTGCTTGCATCAACTTTACAACAGTAGGCCAGGTGTTCGCATATCTATATTGGAAAGTTACATGAATTTCCTTAACAGACAAGATCATAAAAGGGAATTTTTGGAACTCTCTACCAACCCCTATGATATGTAATTTTCCCCCGAAATCAAGGGCATGTGTTGCAAGCTCGAGTGATGGCTCTACACCTGTGCAATCGATGGCAACGTCGAAGCTCTCAGTCTCAGATGTTACCTCTTTCAAGTTTTCTTGTAAAGAGCCAGTAACAAGAATAGTGGTGACACTTGGGATTTCCTTTTTAATAAAGTCAAGCTTAGACTGTTCAATGTCGGTCACGACGATTGGGAAAGCTCCTGCCAGTTCCGCACATTTTGCCGTTACAAAACCAATAGGACCTGCCCCACATACAAGTACTGATTGTCCTAACTGAAGTCCAATATGTCTCACTCCACAGTACAGAACTG